TGAATCTCTCCATTCTGCTCATGTCTAATTTTTATCGCTTGGCCCTGGTAAGTATATTTATCGAATTCTTGAATCTTTTCACTGTTTATTATTACTTAGACCTTCAGGGTATTTGATCATAGTATCCCCGTCGGTAACCGAGAGATTTACAGTCTCACTTTTCTGACTTATTAACGCATCATTAAATGGAGCGATCAGGTCCATGCTAATTGCCAGGTAAGCATATTAACATATCTGCATAGTGTCTTATGTTCTGAGTACGCAAAAATTATCTATGAGCAAGACGGACGAAGATTCATACAGTGATTGATAGATAGTGAACCATAAAAATTTTTTTTAAAATAGCATGTTTGATTCCAGGAATATTCCCCGAATTTGTTCTTTTATGTCTTTGTTAATTGTGTGAACGTGGTTTGATTTTTCTGTCATGGCATTGTGGGAGACTATTATTTCATGGCTTTTTTTACGCCCTCCTAGGAAGTATCTGTTTTAAGTGACAGATAATCTTGTTTCGTAAGTAGTATTCTTCGTACTCATTTTTAAAAATATTTGGCACCGAACAAATTGATTTATTTTAATTTATATCCAGTCTTGTGAACTGTAAAGATCGTGTATATTTCCATTTAACTTTATTCCATTTTACAAAAGTCGTAGCCGATTTATTGACGAAATTGTAGCATGAAGGCTTGAAAACATAAGTTCTTCTAATTCAGTGGTTCAATTAAATAAAGACCTGATCAGAAGATTTTCTACTTAATTTTATCCCGTTTTATTGTAGTGAAATTGATAAATTGCGCTATATAGCGAAGCGAAAAGAGCCTATGTTATATTGTAACTGTGAGGATATTTTGAAAAAAACTACTGAAGATATGTTAATCAACATGCCTTCGTATTATCAACGGTCGTGCTCCAATGATAAGTACTCCTGAGGTCTTTAACATGCGTTGTGCTATCCCCAGCTCTCTGTAAACGGATAGCGGGCCCAATGATTTGGCTCCACCATCTGATTGCCGCGTTTGCACAGCAGAGGGAGACCGCAGTTGCTTTTTCAAAGATGTTCTGTTGCCTTTTGTTGAGTGGATCTTTAAAATCATCAGATTTTGCTGCCTCTTTCAGTGTAGGTTGTCACCAATTTTGGAACTTCCGTTAAATTGAGCTCAAGCCTTGTGTGCTTTAAATCTCTGTTAATCAATTTCGTAATGGCAAGGTTCAGAATGAAGATCCACAATTTTCCTTTAGTTTTATCTCTCAGTTCCTCCTGAATTGTTCTTGTACTGATTTAGTTGCTTGTCATATAGTGCTAATTCATTGGCAGTTTTCATTTTAGATCCACCTTCAGTCCGGCTGCAGTCAGTCCAGTAGGAGCCTTGCAGTCGGCTCCTCCAATTCCACCAAAGACTTACAAGCATCGACAGGTGCATTTGAGCAGTGCCTAATGAAAGCGTTCACACAAACGACGTGGCATGCGTATGTGGCAGTTCCTCTTTAGCCTGTTGACGGACGAACGGAAGCTTAAAACGACTGCGGAGCGGAGCGAGCAGCGCTTTTCACCAGTGGCCTGTTTCACTTGAGATTTCGCTAAAACTTAAGTGTATGAGGTCGTTTATCGTGGGTACGATTCCTTTACGCGACCGATCAAAGTAAAGGATCAGGTGCTATATCTGTGATACGTAATTTCATACATTAAAATATTTTGCTTTGGAAATTAATATCGATACACGGCCGCATCTGTTCTGTAGATTTAATCAAATTTTCTTTTTAATGATTTTAAATTTCTTAGGTATAGAGCAAAATATGCTTCCCAGTGAATGAAGATTATGACCCAAAAAGCGCAATTCAAAATCCCTCAGCTTTAATGTTTCAGTGGCTATGGAAAGAGGTATCGATTCTTTGCCTGTATGAATAACCGCTAATGATTTTGGCTTCCCGACTCATGATTCAGGGCAATAATTAATAAGGATGGTGTAAAATCCTTTACTTACGTATGCTTTGAGACGTCAGCATCATCAACAGGAGTCTAAATTTTTTGTTTAAGACATTTAAAAACGCTTACACATGGTTCTAAGGTTAGTTCTTTCTTTACCGTGAATTATAAAATTATTTTCACACAAATAAGCGGAAATATTTAAGTTGAGTAGTTTTAGTTATTTCTTTCAAATGTATCTATTGTATTTGTGGGTTATATTCGAAGCACGCCAGTAGTTAGCCTTTGGAACGTTAAGTCGTTCCTCTCTTAACCAGACAGAACACTAGCATATACGCTACGCACAGTGATTAACATAGTTTGTAGTGGTTCGATAAAGTTATGTAATCAACTATGAACAGTTCTGTATATTAGAAAGATTTGTGAAAAACAACACTAAGATCAAAAACTGATTTACGAAACCCCGGCGGAGCTGAATGCTGGAACTGCGATGAGAAAGGAGCATAGCCTGAAATTTTCTTATTAATCACTGCTGTTGCGCTTATTAACAAGTAACCGGAATTTACGCAAAGCAAGCTTGTAAAAAATTAAAAAATATCAATCGAGGAGCTGCATTTGTCTGAGATTATTTGGCAGCAGCTGCAGTAAAAGAGATCCGAAAATTTATGTGTAAACAATCAACAACCAAAAGCGAAATTAGCCACAAACAGTCGTTAAAGGACTCTTTTTGCTGACAGCGAACTCCATTCCAGCTTTTCACATTGCTCGAAACGTTCAGTCAATGACTCAGGAATTTGCACACTCCACTTCGTTAAACAGAATTTCCGGAGGACGAAAATTTTGTCTAGAACTTTCGATCTTTCGAGAAAGCTATCACTGTCTTTGTCACTAAGTAGCACAAGAAATCGAGCTATCGCCAAAGTTTTGCTATTTGCGACCATTCTGACGGACCACTCACCTGATGGTGAGCTGCCATCGAACGGCATTTCTAGTGATGCGTGATATACATTATCTCTTGGGGAAATCTTCTGCTCAGTGTGGC